GAAGACAAAATCGTGTGTTATTGTTTTATGGGTCTTGATGTTGTGAATTTAGTCGACCCCGATCGGAGATTTTGTTAAGCAAAGACTCGACTTCTGACACAAGTTTGTCCCTGTACTCGGCGACGATTTTCCGAGAAATATTGGCACGGCCGGTGTATAAGGCATCACCAGTGCTGTCGTCTGCATAGCATTGAATGTTATCAGTTTGCAAAATATCATTGATATGCAGTAGAAACAGTGTTAGTGATAGCGAGCAGCCTAGTGGAACACCAACGTGAATTGGCTTCTAATGTGAGCATGTACCGTCTACTACGACCTTGATGCTCCGATTAGCAAGAAAACTAGTGATCCAGTCGCACAATTTCTCGGGAAGCCCATGACTAGGGAGCTTCGAAAGAATCACCATGTTCAAACTAACGGCCAATGGGGAGGCCATTGGACTCTACTGCCTCCGCCCATCTATGAGTAAGGTAGGCCAGAAGATCACCAACTGATTGACCACGACGGAAACTGTATTGGCGGTCACTGATCAGCTGGTGATCCTCAATGTACCTCATGAGCTGGCAGTTTACAATAGACTCCATTAACAACAGAGTTTAGAGAACAAGGAGGTGATAGCGATAGGCCTGTAGTTGGACAGGTCTGACCGGTCACCTTCTTTAGGGAACGGGTGACCAAAGCTGTCTTCCTAGAATTCGAGACTACGCCTTGGGAGCAGGAGTACCGGAAAAGACGCGTTAAAACCGGTGCCAACTCCGGAGCACACGTCTGCAGCACAATATGAGGACGTCATCAGGCACACTCGACTTACTGACGTCCAGGGACAAGAAAGCTCGCGAACCGAGCGCTGTGTAAATCGCACATCCGGAATGGAGCACTCACACCGCGGGAAGGTCGGCGGTTTGTTCTTCCCGTCATCGAGAGTAGAGTTGGACGAAAAGAGAGAGCCTAACAGATCGGCTTTCTCCTTTGCGCCATGGGCCAGTGAGTCGTCCTCTCTGTGCAGAGATGGAAGAGATAACTGACAGAAGTTCCCTTGGACAGCCTTGACGAGAGACCAGAATGCGTAGGTTCCCGGAGGAAGCCGAACTAGCTTCTCGTCAGTTCTGCCGATGTGCTCAGACCTTGCCTTGGCAATAACGCTTTTGAAGTACCTGGAGGCAGAATTATACTTCTTTTTAAGAGCGCTGGTGGTTACATCCCGAGACGCTGATGCGTCAGCTCAGGCCGGGTAGCACTCCTGCTTATAGCGTTATGCTATTTTATAGGAGGGACCAAACCATGGCTGAGAGATCTACCTCCGATGGGCACCACAGAGAACGGAATAAAAAGTTCCATACCCAGAAGTACCACATCGGCGACAGAATCAGCAACAACGCTATGATCGCTCCGACCGGAGAGAAGCTCCCAAGGATAGGATGCAAAAGAGATCGCATCCCATCCTATTCGGTCGACCTATAGAGCCAAACACGGCGGCAGCCTGTAGAATGCAACTGCGACGTTAATGTAACTGACACCACACTCCGGACAAGGCGAAACAACTGCCGCGTGACTCTACCACTGTTAAAACTGTTGAACGCCACGACAAATTGTTTGCACTAGTGCACGACGTTAAATGCACTTGTGCTAGCAGTCACTACGAAGGTTTGTACTGTTCTGTGCCTCGACTACCACAGGGGTGCTATCACAGCAAAAAATCGAGCCCCAACTGGACCAACTGAGCGCACGACGATAATTCTGGTTTGCACCAGCGGCGTGTTTTCGGTTTTTCACTTTTTTCTCATTGGGTGAGCAAATGAGGCCTCTAATCTATCTCCCCCATTGGGCATGTTTGTGTGGGAGGGGAAAGGCAGTGAGAAGGGAGACTGTACCGGTCAATGTACTATCAAACACACCGCTAGGGTGTTTTTGGCGCATAATCCAATAATATGCCAGCGCAACTTGTCTACCTCTTCTTCCAGCTCCATTATCTTCTCTTCAGTCCTCATGGTGCGTGCGTTATACGTTGCCAGGTCGAATCGTCGTAGGTGGCAACCGAACCTCCACCGGAGATTCTTAGCACCCCCTTATATACATACGTATAATTACATACTTACCATCATTGATGCATTCACAAAGTTCACTTGGATTTTCCCTACTAAGAGTACACAAGCAAAGAAGTTTTGGAGAAACTGAAGGTGTTTCAGCAGCACTTTGGAAACCCGTACAGAATCAGAGGTACTGCTTTTACGAGTGGAGAGTTCAAAGAGTTCTGTGAGGAGGAAGGTATTCGACATGTTACCACAACCACGGGTGTGCCTCGCGGAAATGGACAAGTAGAGTGAGTGCATAAAACAATTATATCAGTATTGACTAAGTTAAGCGTGGAAAATTCTAACCTGTGGTATAGACATGTTAGTCGTAAGAGCACTAAATAGCACATACCACATAGCAAATAACAAATACCACAGAAGTATAAGCTGCACACCTTTCGAATTAATGATTGGTACAACAATGAAAAACAATCAAGATTTGGATTTATATAATTTATATAATTTTGTTACAAGGAGATAGAGAAAAGATAAACAGAGAAGAGTTACGCGTTAAAGCAAAACAACAGATTTTGAAAATTCAGGAGGAAAATATGCGGAATTTCAATAAGAAAAGAAAGAAAAGTTGTCAGTACAAACCTGGTGATGTGGTGGCTATCAAAAGAACGCAGTTTGGAGTGGGAATGAAGTTAAAGCCGAAGTTCCTTGGCCCATACAAAGTAGTGAAGTCAAAGGTAGAGACAGGTATGGCGTGGAAAAGCTGGATAGCTCTACTGAAGGCCCGAGGAAGACGTCGACTTCTGCTGACTACATGAAGACGTGGCCTGCTCTCAGAGGACCCACGTAAGTTTTTGCATTCCATCGCTCCACTCATTTTGATTAATTTTATGTGACAGCCATGAAACATTTTTGTGAACTGCTGACACCAGTATTAATAATTTGTTTGTAATAAGTTAAGAATGCGTTTTGTTACATTGTATTAAGTAAAGCGTAGTGATGTGTTCTGTTCCTATGTTTAGATTTGTACTCCATACATAGTATTTGTTAAAGTTAAGGATGTATTTATTGTGTTTATTGTAGTATTAGAGAAAGAGAGAGATTAAACCTTCAAGTCCAACATCAAGCTGTGTTTCATTCTCAACAAAACATATTCCACAAACATATTAACTAGCGTTGAATATACAACCTCAATCTACCCTATGCAAGCTACGTACGTATTTTTAAAGATAATAAGATTACAGCAGGCGTCTGCATGGTCACGTAGGCGTGAAGTATCGCTGAGAGATGGTAAGGTATAAATGTATAAGATATGCTAGCTGTATGCAGTGACACGACTTACGGCAGTTTTATGTACGTCACACATGTATAAAGTTATTAAACTAAATGTTTAGCGCGTTATAGTTTAAGTGGACGTTCTCTAATTTATAGTAAGACGATAACCTGAGTTCAATCCTTACAGGCACCACTAAAATTGTATGTTGCAATTTTAAGTTCTAACTTAACACTAACCGTTGAAAGAAAATATCGTGAAATAAGTTGCATGCGAAGAAAGGCCACATGGTCTGCGTAAATTAAATATATTAGCAAAAAGATTATTTCCATTTATTATTACTTAAAATTGAACTAACTAAAAACTGAAGTATATACTACATAAAAGTATCCTCCAGACCGAATTTTCGGTCACAGTGGCCAGGATAGAATTATAGTAGACGGACTGCCTCGTTGATCTAGTGGTTGTAGTAGTGCGACCGCTGATCATGAGATCCTGGGTGCGAATCCCAGGTCGGGCCAAAAACTCAATTACTGAGTTTTTCTGTCAAGAAATTCTCAGAAGCTGCTCGGAGTCAGGAAGTTGGCGGTGTCTCACCCCCGTGCCTCGGAGAGCACGGAAAGCCGTTGAGCCTGCACCTGATCTCTCTCCCGGTCGTGTTGGTATACCGTCCCATTGGATTATGAGAGTGAGGGGGAGTAAGAGTGCACCTGTGCTTGCGCATACACTGGGGTACTATAATCCTGTCCTGCGCCGATTGCTAGCCTCCGATGAGGCAAGCCGCCGTGGCCGAAATTCGGTCTGGAGGACGATTATTATTATTATTATGTGGTATTAGTAGTGTATTCTCATCTGGTTGGGCTGAATAAATATATAAAAGAAAATGATAAATATACATAAATATATATTTCATATACCAGCACAAATAAATAAGTAACGCCCTGGAAGATACCCCTTCTTATCCTTATGTGGTAGCGGGAGCGACTTCTGATCGAGAGCTTCTTGAAACTGTCGGGCGAGCACAGCGCGACACACTACGAACCCCTTCAGCTAGTAATGATGCAGCCCGTCGAGCCGCCGACTTTTCCAGTTCGGGGCCCTACGGACTGCCTCAGCCACGTCTTCAGGCGTTATGGTGACGGGGTCCATACGCGTAACACTTGCTCTCTGGCTCGCCACAACTTCCATCTAAGGGCCCTCGCTGTGGTTTACGGGCTCTGACCACAGGCCACGCCAAAATGCGACAGTGTCAGCCTGATCCGGTCCTGGGCCCGCTCCACATATCTCTGGTCGCTCCCATGATTTATAGAGTCTCTTCTGATCACTCTGAAAGAGACGTTTGTGGTTGAACCTCCTTGACCTCTCGCTAAATCGTTGAATCCGCTTCCCCCAAGCTGCGATTGTTTGCTCCAGGTCATCTATGCGCTCCGTTAGTTTCCGCGTGATATCCGGCTGGGACAAACTAATATTTGTCCCAGCAAACGCCATTCTAACGGTGCGCACAACTCTTGGTCTATTATTACCCGACCTGAAGCTTTTCAGTCTCCCAATAAGGGCCCTTACCTTTGCGATACGGTCCTCGATTCTTTTTCTCCAGTCTGGGATGGCGCTACTTTGTTGAGTAGCACGTCCAGCCATGGGAAGTTTGGCGCCAATAATACAGCATACTGCCAGTGCGGCGCCAAAAAAAATTGAGTCCTCTATTCCAAATGGGTCACCAGGATTGGGTTAAGAGCCCGCACTACAGCCCGATTTTGCTTGCTAAGGGGTATGTGGGGAAGTCGCGGTCTATTTTCGAGAGGCATGCTACGCGTTTCCAGCATCGTCTTCTCCAATATGCTCCTCATTTTCTCTAGTTCGTAGGAGACTATTCCATCATCGTCTGAATTAACCACAAATGGAATATTGACGGCAGCATCCACATATGCAGTTTGCTGCGCATCTAGTGGCATTCCCAGCCGTAGCATTTCCATTCGATGAGGGAACAGCCTCACGTCGTAGTCGTTCGCGTTCGGCGTCACCAAATATGTTGGAGCGCAGGATGAACTCGGTCTGCCAGGTTTTGCTCAGTGACGGATAGAGATGGCACCAGCTCTGCAAAAAAGCGATGCATCTGAACTCGATACGCCAAACACCCAGTTTCTTCCCCTTTTGCCCTAAAGTACGCCCGCAGTGCGTTTGCGTTCATTAATTGCGACCAACGCATGCGACGTGCTCCACCAGCGGTGGGTGCCGCGTGCTGAGTCCGAGAAGACCCAGCCGACACCAAGCCTTCTGGTGGGGATGATGGATGCGGGGGGCTGCTAGGTGGTCTTGCAGCACCCCGCGCTCGGCTGGCGGCCCGCATGCTGTCGCGTCCAGCGCCAGCTCCAGACGCGCCCTGGCGACCTCCATGCAGCGGCCCTTTGCGCACTATTTTTTTACATCATCCATGGTTTGGGCGTCCATTAACGGGAGACGCCCAGGCCCGGCACCGTATTGTGTACGGCCATAAGCACAAACGAGCCCTTGCACCCTAACTTCTGCCGAGACACGGTGTTTACGTCTCTTGCAAGGCGCTGACTGACTGCGTTGACGTAGCAGTTTCGTCACTTAACTGTTACGTCAGTGGGCGATGGGGTCGTCAATTCCATACGCCAATTTATTATTATTATTATTATTATATTAGACGAGTGTATGAGGAAATCCCCACTCTCTCCTTTCGAAGGGACAGCAATTCGACATGTTCGAAAAAGATCAGGCGCAGGATAAACGGCTTTACATGCTTCGAAGGTGAAACTTCCTGACTCCGGGCTGCTACTGAGAACTTCTTGACAGAAAAACCAATAACTGATTTTGGCTCAAAACGGGATTTAAACCCAAGATCACATGATAAACAGCTTACGACCGCTAGGCTAACGTTATAGTCACATAATACAAAAATAGTTAACTAAGAACAAGGAAATAATGTTTTGTCCAGAGTTGTGTTCCCTTTAGTTTTAAAGTAAGATTTAAGGAATTTCATTGCTTGCAAGTTCGCAAGGCTCGTTGTTGTGTATAATTTAGTAAAATAAGTATTGAAGGTCACCTACCTCTTTATCAGCTTGTAGAAATTCACTGTTTGACATGTACTCTTTAAGTGTAGGGGTGCTCTTCATAATCACCCTAACGTTTAGTAAGTAAAAAGCGATCAAAGCCCTAGGGACGTTACGACTAGAAAAGAGATGTTTTTTTATTTATCTGGCAAATTCATCCGTCCAGCCATAAATCGGAGGCTATGACATCTAAAAGGCACTTCCCATAGACGCCTCTTACAACACTCAAAAGACTAAAATGAGACGATGAATGCTCCACAACATGTCAAATGTAAAAGATAATCTATGTCCCTTTATTCATGAGTTTTCCGCAAACGTAACCATAGTAAGGAATAAAAATATTAAGAGTAAATATTTTGTTGGAATGAGACAATACCCAATGAGATGATCGTCACCATGCTGGTTCTATGAAAATTGATTTAAAATTATACAAACAAAATCATTGCAAAGTGTAAAAGTCCCGCTGGGAATCTTGCTGGTTCTTCCCAGGACAAACGTATTTTTGCAACATCCCGCTAATTTCAAATGCAAAGCACTTCAAATTTTGAAAATTGGGTAAAAATTGCACCGGGCCTGGGCGTCTCCCGTTAATGGACGCACAAACCATGGATGATGGAATAAAAATAGTGCGCAAAGGGCCGCTGCATGGAGGTCGCCAGGGCGCGTCTGGAGCTGGCGCTGGACGTGACAGCATGCGGGCCGCCAGCCGAGCACGGGGTGCTGCAAGACCACCTAGCAGCCCCCCGCATCCATCATCCCAAGCAGAAGGCTTGGTGTCGGCTGGGTCTTCTCGGACTCAGCAAGCGGCACCCGCCGCTCGTGAAGCACGTCGCATGCGTTGGTCGCAATTAATAAACGCAAACGCACTGCGGGCGTACTTTAGGGCAAAAGGGGAAGAAACTGGGTGTTTGGCGTATCAAGTTCGGATGCATCGCTATTTTGCAGAGCTGGAGCCATCTCTATCCGTCACTGAGCAAAACCTGGCAGACCGAGTTCATCCTGCGCTTCAACATATTTGGTGACGCCGAACGCGAACGACTACGACGTGAGGCTGTTCCCTCATCGAATGGAAATGCTACGGCCGGGAATGCGGCGCCACTAGATGCGCAGCAAACTGCATATGTGGATGCTGCCGTCAATATTCCATTTGTGGTTAATTCAGACGATGATGGAATAGTCTCCTACGAACTAGAGAAAATGAGGAGCATATTGGAGGAGTCGATGTTGGTAACGCGTAGCATGCCTCTCGAAAATAGACCGCGACTTCCCCGCATACCCCATAGCAAGCAAAATAGGGCTGTAGTGCGGGCTCTTAACCCAATGCTGGTGACCCATTTGGAAGAGAGGACTTAATTCTTTTTGGCGCCGCACTGGCAGTATGCCGTATTATTGGCGCCAAACTTCCCATGGCTGGACGTGCTACTCAACAAGGTAGCGCCATCCCAGACTGGAGAAAAAGAATCGAGGACCGTATCGCAAAGGCAAGGGCCCTTATCGGGAGACTGAAAAGCTTCAGGTCGGGTAATAATAGACCAAGAGTTGTGCGCACCGTTAGAATGGCGTTTGCTGGGACAAATATTAGTTTGTCCCAGCCGGATATCACGCAGAAACTAACGGAGCGCATAGATGACCTGGAGCAAACAATCGCAGCTTGGGGGAAGCGGATTCAACGATTTAGCGAGAGGTCAAGGAGGTTCAACCACAAACGTCTCTTCCAGAGTGATCAGAAGAGACTCTATAAATCATGGGAGCGACCAAAGATATGTGGAGCGGGCCCAGGACCGGATCAGGCTGACACTGTCGCATTTTGGCGTGGCCTGTGGTCAGAGCCCGTAAACCACAGCGAGGGCCCTTAGATGGAAGTTGTGGCGAGCCAGAGAGCAAGTGTTACGCGTATGGATCCCGTCACCATAACGCCTGAAGACGTGGCTGAGGCAGTCCGTAGGGCCCCGAACTGAGTCGGCGGCTCGACGGGCTGCATCATTACTAGCTGAAGGGGTTCGTAGTGTGTCGCGCTGTGCTCGCCCGACAGTTTCAAGAAGCTCTCGATCAGAAGTCGCTCCCGCTACCACATAAGGATAAGAAGGGGTATCTTCCAGGGCGTTACTTATTTATTTGTGCTGGTATATGAAATATATATTTATGTATATTTATCATTTTCTTTTATATATTTATTCAGCCCAACCAGATGAGAATACACTACTAATACCACATAATAATAATAATAACGTCCTCCAGACCGAATTTCGGCCACGGCGGCTTGCCTCATCGGAGGCTAGCAATCGGCGCAGGACAGGATTATAGTACCCCAGTGTATGCGCAAGCACAGGTGCACTCTCTACTCCCTCACTCTCATAATCCAATGGGACGGTATACCAACACGACCGGGAGAGAGATCAGGTGCAGGCTCAACGGCTTTCCGTGCTCTCCGAGGCACGGGGGTGAGACACCGCCAACTTCCTGACTCCGAGCAGCTTCTGAGAATTTCTTGACAGAAAAACTCAGTAATTGAGTTTTTGGCGACAGGATCTCATGATCAGCGGTCGCACTACTACAACCACCAGATCAACGAGGCAGTCCGTCTACTATAATTCTGTCCTGGCCACTGTGACCGAAAATTCGGTCTGGAGGATATTTTTATGTAGTATATACTTCAGTTTTTAGTTAGTTCAGTTTTAAGCAATAATAAATGGAAATAATCTTTTTGCTAATATATTTAATTTACGCAGACCATGTGGCCTTTCTTCACATGCAACTTATTTCACGATATTTTCTTTCAACGGTTAGTGTTAAGTTAGAACTTAAAATTGCAACATACAATTTTAGTGGTGCCTGTAAGGATTGAACTCAGGTTATCGTCTTACTATAAATTAGAGAACGTCCACTTAAACTATAACGCGCTAAACATTTAGTTTAATAACTTTATACATGTGTGACGTACATAATGTTAACACAAAACTGCCGTAAGTCGTGTCACTGCATACAGCTAGCATATCTTATACATTTATACCTTACCATCTCTCAGCGATACTTCACGCCTACGTGACCATGCAGACGCCTGCTGTAATCTTATTATCTTTAAAAATACGTACGTAGCTTGCATAGGGTAGATTGAGGTTGTATATTCAACGCTAGTTAATATGTTTGTGGAATATGTTTTGTTGAGAATGAAACACACTTGATGTTGGACTTGAAGGTTTAATCTCTCTCTTCACAGCTATATCGTCTTGTCACAATGGCTTACCGTTTGCTAGTCCTTCAAATCTAACTTCCCTTCATTCTTACTTCTTATTCTGTCACTCGCTCATTGTTCACTCATTTTAAATACTTGCTCTTTCACTCACTTTCATACTGTCATCTTGCTATCTTTATCACACATTCATTCTGTCACTTCATTCCTTTACATTCCGTCCTACATTCGGCCTTCCTGCAATCAGTCTATCCTCAGGCTGATCAACAAAACTAACTTTTGCAGAATATTAAAGCTAATACTACAATAAACACAATAAATACATCCTTAACTTTAACAAATACTATGTATGGAGTACAAATCTAAACATAGGAACAGAACACATCACTACGCTTTACTTAATACAATGTAACAAAACGCATTCTTAACTTATTACAAACAAATTATTAATACTAGTGTCAGAAGTTCACAAAAATGTTTCATGGTTGTCACATAAAATTAATCAAAATGAGTGGAGCGATTAAATGCAAAAACTTACGTGGGTCCTCCGAGAGCAGGCCACGTCTTCATGTAGTCAGCAGAAGTCGACGTCTTCCTCGGGCCTTCAGTAGAGCTATCCAGCTTTTCCACGTCATACCTGTCTCTACCTTTGACTTCACTACTTTGTATGGGCCAAGGAACTTTCGGCTTTAACTTCATTCCCACTCCAAACTGCGTTCTTTTGATAGCCACCACATCACCAGGTTTGTACTGACAACTTTTCTTTCTTTTCTTATTGAAATTCCACATATTTTCCTCCTGAATTTTCAAAATCTGTTGTTTTGCTTTAACGCGTAACTCTTCTCTGTTTATCTTTTCTCTATCTCCTTGTAACAAAGTTATATAAATTATATAAATCCAAATCTTGATTGATCTTTTTATCTCTTCTCTAGCTCCTTGTAACAATAAATTATATAAATCCAAATCTTGATTTTTTTTCATTGTTGTACCAATCATTAATTCGAAAGGTGTGCAGCTTATACTTCTGTGGTATGTGCTATTTAGTGCTCTTTGCAAACGGCTAACATATCTATACCACAGGTTAGAATTTTCCACGCTTAACTTAGTCAATACTGATATAATTGTTTTATGCACTCGCTCTACTTGTCCAATTCCGCGAGGCACACCCGTGGTTGTGGTAAATGTCGAATACCTTCCTCCTCACAGAACTCTTTGAACTCTCCACTCGTAAAAGCAGTACCTCTGTCAGAGTTGATTCTGTACGGGTTTCCAAAGTGCTGCTGAAACACCTTCAGTTTCTCCAAAACTTCTTTGCTTGTGTACTCTTAGTAGGGAAAATCCTAGTGAACTTTGTGAATGCATCAATGATGGTAAGTATGTAATTATACATCTTCTTGGTTTTTGTTAATGATCCAATGTGATCTATGCGAATAGTATGTAATGGAACCTCTTGTTTATCTATGGGGTTAAGGAAACCCTCCTGCTTGACTTCTTCGCGTGTAGCCAATAAACATGGTATATACGTAACTAGTAATCTTTTCCAATCAACTCTAGCATTTTCTTTTTTTGAAAAATTTCCATTACTATGCACAAAAATTCCCGCTGGGAATCTTGCTGGTTCTTCCCAGGACAAAGGTATTTTTGCAACATCCCGCTAATTTCAAATGCAAAGCACTTAAAAAAATCGAGTTATAATAAAAAAATCGTGTTATTTGGGAAAAAAAACTTTTACGAGATTTCTTTCGACAACGACATTTCTCCAATGACTCAACCAATTTCGATACGGTTTGCAGCAATCAACGTCGTTTATAAGTAGAAGAGCAGATTATATCAGAGGATTGATCAAAACAAGGGTGTCGAATTAATTATAACAAAAACATTTTTTAATATTAAATAAGCTCAAATATTTTATATTTTCTATTAATTATTAACACACTCAAACACACACACGTACGCACGCTCGCACGCACTCACGCACGCACGCACGCACGCACGCACACACACACGCACGTACGCACGCTCGCACGTACACACGCATACACTTTCAGACATACATCATTGCCAAAACAGTTTCCTAGGACCTCGAAACGTTGAGATATGATGAGTACTCGATTTTCTAAAATCGAAGTGAAAACAATAATTTCCCGATTTTTTGAAAATCAGTGATTTGATTCATTCATTAGAATCATTGATTAGATATAGAACAAAAATTATTATTTCATTTCTTTTGTTAGGTGAATATTTTGTAAAATATCCTAGGGAAGTACAAATAACCACTAAGCTGTAATGAAACTGTAAAATAGCATACCGAGGTATCTACAACTGTTACTACATACTTGAACATAAAACTTGTTATTTAAAACATTCAGAGGCTAGCATTATTATTGTTTTATGATTTTATTTCACCTAGCATAAATTCAGAGATAAAATTTAAAATGTGAAGCTCAATCAAAATGCTACGTGTAGTGAATACAACATACGAGTTGTACTCGTATGTGGCTCGTTCACAGACTTGTAAGTGGCTTCTTTTCTATTGCCTCTACGATCATGTTTTATTCAAATGTACGAAAGTTTAAAAGCTTTCTTTTTAACATATTTTTAAAAAATTGTCAGGTGTTTCGCTATAGATTCTAAACTATTAAAACTATTTTATTTTCAATGATTTAATCGATAGAGTTTACATAGTATGATTTAAACTCTATCGATTGAATCATTGAAATACACATCAGTAGGGATTTGAGTGAAGCACTGGCTTAATAGAAAGTATTAAGAAACTGTATGTGTTTATCATTAATTTGCTCTGCTTCCGCGTTTTGTCTGGTGAGTGTAGGTGGCCGGTGGCCCAATCCTCCCCGCCCCCTTTACATGGTAGAGGAATTAAGTAAAGATCTACCCCAGGAGAGTATCAGCACCCCTGGAGAATCCCTTGCTGAGCATCCACGACCAAGTTACTCCACTCCTGAGCGTGGATGCTCAGGTTGCCCTGCATATTCTGATGGGATGGGGGGGGGGGGCAAAATTCCACTCAAGATAATAACTGCTTGGGGCAAACTGAGCAACAAGCCCAAGGCGACCCCTGCCATGTTATCCGTGAATTTCTGCAATATCAGGGGAATTCATTCTAACCTAAACGCCGTCCAATACCATCTCGAGACGGCGAAGC